GCAGTTGTCTAGTGTAGCATGATAAAATCATTCTCCAAGTGCCCATGATTCACTTGCTTAATTACAGATTAAGTCCAACTCCCAAAGTGCACACACAGCCTGGACCTGTTAACTTCACTCAGTAAAATAACCAAGGTGACCTACATTTCCTGAGTAAAATGCAAAATACATTAGAAAAGGTAAATCAGATCAATTGCTGCTTGTACATATCTTTTCTAAAAATAAAACATAATTGAAGAGTGTAAAAAGAGCCGAAACCAGTTTGGCTCAGTGGATAGAGCATCGGACTATGGACTGAAGGGTCCCAGATTTGATTCCAGTCAAGGGCATGTGCATTGGTTGCGGGGTCATCCCCAGTAGGGGGTGTGCAGGAGGCAGTGGTCAATGTTTCTCTCTCATTGATGTTTCTAGCTCTCTATCCCTCTCCCTTCCTCTCTGTAAAAAAATCAATAAAATATATATTTTTTAAAAAGAGTGTAAAGAAACCTTTATGAAAGACAAGTTAAAATGATTTGAGTAAACTTGAGTTTGAGGGAGATTTGATTTTTTCCTGTGCGTGTTTCATCTCTGTGGAATGAACATGTGACCCACTGAAAAGTCCTTGAAACCAACAGGGTGTTTGATAAGGACCAGAAAGCCTAGCTGTGGACACTGCCAAAGAAAGCAGGAAATGGTGAGTTTCTCATGGAAGCATGGCATTTGTCTTAGACTCTGGGAAATTTGTAGACAAAGAGGTGAAGGAACACTTCTCAGCAATATTCTGCATTAGTCACGTCATTGATTCTGTAGGTAATTTGGATTATATTTTAGTTTGTAAGTTGTTTTAAGTATGTCTGTGCCTGAGGCGAGAGTGCTGTTCCATACTGGTTCCTTCAGCGTGTAAGGGGATGGTTGAATTTTGGGGAAGGAGAGAAAAGAATGATCACCCAAAAGGCAGCCAGGAAGGAATGTGTTTGGCTGCAGGTGATATAATCTGGCTACAGTGGTTCACCCCAAAAGAGGTAAGAGGGGCTTAGAGACACCCCTCGGTATCTGAGGGGCATCGATGCCAGGACCCCCTTAAATTAAACAGGGTAGCATTTGCATATAACTTATGCACATCTTTCTGTATACTTTAAATCATTCCTAGATTATTTACAATACCTAATGCAATATAAATGCTATGCAAATAGTTGTTATATTTTATTGTTTGGGGAGTAATGACAAAGGGGGGAAACGTATGTGCATATTCTATACAGAAGCAACCATTTAAGCTTAAGTACATGATACACATCAGCAACATTAACATTTTTATAAAAAACACTTGCAATCATGATACATTGAATCTGCAAATGTGGAACCCACAGATATGGAGGGCCAACTGTATTTGCAGAACAAGGAGTCCAGAAGTAGACTGCTGCTATAATTAATCACTCAACAGTGCTGTTGGGAACCCAAACTTAATGATCAAAAGAAGGGAGGTGCCCCTCCTATTATTGAGTCCTATTTTTTTTCCTTTTTTTTTTTTAATATATCTTTATTGATTTCAGGGAGGTAGGGGAGAGAGAGAGAGAGAGAGAGAGAGAGAGAGAGAGAGAGAGAGAGAGAGAGATCAATGATGAGAGAGAATCATTGGTCTGCTGCCTCCTGCACACCCCACACTGGGGATGGAGCCTGCACCCCGGGTATAAGCCCTGACCAGGAATCAAACTGTGACCTCCTGTTTCTTAGGTTGACACTCAACCACTGAGCCACCAGGGTGGGACTGAATCCTAATTCTAAGTGGTTAGAGGAACAGCGAAAGGGATCGTGCCAATCACGCGGCCCATTTTATCAGGTGAGCGAAAGTTTCTCAGAAGCTCACCTCTCGGCAAACGTCTGCCTAATCTCGCTGGCCAGGAATGGTCACTGAGCTACCCCAGCAGCAAGAAAGACTGAGAAGAAAGAGGGTGGAGGTTAGGGCAGAGTCAGCCTAGCCACAGTGTCTGCCATGGGCAGCAGTTTCTGTTTTTAGTTACATTTCAGAAATGGTTGCTGAAGGCAATTTTAAAGGATGACTAGAAGTTTAGTATCATAGAATCCACAGACCGCATCAGAATAGTAATCAATCACTTTTGAAAACCAGATGATAAAAGAGATCATGGCCTGGCCAGTGTTGTTCAGTGGTTGGGCACCAACCTATGGTCATGATTTAATTCCTGGTCAGGGCACATGTCCAGATTTCAGACTCTATCCCCAATAGGGAGTGGTCCATCAATGATTCTCATCATTGATGTTTCTATCTCTCTCTTCCTCTCCATTCCCCTCTGAAATCAATAAAAATTAAAATAAAATATGGCTGAAGGAGGGGGGGGGATGAAACAAGCTTTGTAGCAAAATATGCTATTTCCAAAATTTCGTGGGAAGAGGGAAGAAGTCCTTTCTAAAATATATCAAAGATCTTCACAGAAACCATTTTTGAAAGAATTTATATTTCACTCCTTAACTGTTTCTTTAACAGAAATGATAGCCAACAGATTTGAGGGTTCCTTCATGTTTGCTTTACTATGTGAAAAGGGATCATTTGAAATTAATTCAAACAATACAAAAAAATTTTTATATTATTTGTATACACATAAGTGCTATAAAATGCTTAGAAAACAAACATACTTTGATTTTCACTAATTGTATTAAAAAGAAGCTTCACTTCATCCTCAGGTCTAAGTAAAGATAAATTTCTAATTGGGCTGGTGTGGTTCAGGGGTTGAGCATCAACCTCGGAACCAAGAGATCAAGGCTCCATTCCCTGTCAGGGCAGATGCCTCAGTTGCGGGTTCTGTCTCAGGTTGGGGCATGTGTAGGAGGCAACTGATCAATGTTTCTCTCTTAATGTTTCTCTCTCCCTCCCTCTTTCTCTCTTTCTCTAGATTCAGTGACAAACATATCCTCCAGTGAGGATTAAAAAATAAAAGAAATTAAAGATTGATTAAAGGACTAATTGCAAAAAAAGTAAAACTAAATAAAATAGAACTATTCTGATAACCCAGAAACCATAAAGGAAAAGATTAACAGACTTAGCTACATGAAAAATTTTAAGCTGATGTATTCACTCATTCGTTTATTCATTATTTTTATTGAGAAGATACTCTGTGCCAGGCACTGTTCTGGATACCCAGGATAGGATACAGCAGTGTACTAAACAGCTATTGTCACTGCTCTCATCAAGCCGACATGCCTTATGGCAGCCAATACCATAAACAGATGGCCATAGACAAAACTGAAAGGCAGTGATGTCTGGAGAATTATTTGCAAAATATATGATAAAGAGTAAATATCTATTTAAAAAAAAACAAAAAAAAAAACAAGAGTTTATATAAATTGATAGCTAACCCAAGAGGAAAATGAGTAGAAGTTACAAATAGAAAATTAAAAGAAGAGCAACCACACACACACACAGAGACACACACACAGACACACACAAACACACACACACACAGCAACTACAAATGGCCAATAAACATGTGAAGAATTGCTCAACCTCAGTAGTCCCAATAGTGCTATTAGAACAACAGTGACATAAAGTGTTTCCCCCTTTAGTGTGACCTCATTTTTCAAAATTTCTAACTCCTGCTGCTGGGAAATGTACAAGGAAATGAGTACCCTCACACACTAGTGACATGTCCAAGAATTCCTAACAATCTTTTTGGTAGCAGGAGTATCTATTTACTAGATACTAGGAGTGTCTATTTAAAATTAAACATTCTCATACCCTTTGACCCAGAAATGTGAACCTATCCTATAGAAACAAAAGCACTAATGCATAAGTAAATAGGTATAAAATATTTATTATATCATAGTTTGTATATAGAAAAGAAATGAAACATCTGAATATTCTTTTAAAAGGTATGTCCAAATTATGTAATATTTTATAGTTTTTGAAAGAATGAATTTTATTTACATGTATTGATCTAATAAGATCAATATATGATATAGTGATTGTTCACCAACAAGGCAATTTGTAGGATAATTGGTATGAAATTTTTAATTAAAAAATAAAATGAAGAAGTATAACCCTGCCAAGTGGTGCAGTGGTTGCGTGTCAACCCATGGACCATGAGGTCCCACGGTTTGATTCCTGGTCAGGGCACGTGTCCCCATTGTGAGCTCAATCCCCAGTAGGGGGCGTGCAGGAGGCAGCTGATCAATGATTCTCATCATTGATGTTTCTCACTCTTTCCCTTCCTTTCTCTGAAATCAATAAAAAGCATATTTTTTTAAAAATGAAAATGTATAAACAGTTAATATAGGTCATTTGGGGTTTAAGATTATCGTGAGATTAAAGAGGACAATTTACTGCCTCTTTATATCCTTGTATATTGTTTGAATTATTACAATGAGCAAATACTTTTTTTTAACATCAGATGGAAAAACAATTTATTTCATGATGGAGGATGGAACTATAATCAATGGTAGAAGTTTCAGGAAGGCTGATTTTTAGTTCATCTAAGGGAAAACTTTATAACAATAACAGTGATTCAACAATGGATTTGGGAGATTTGGTGAGGGTTTCTGGGAGTATTCAAGCAGGACCCATAGCTGTTGGAGAGAAGAATTTTGTATCTAGTTTGAAAGCTGGACTATATGGCTCTAAGATTCCTTCCAACACCAACAGTTTTTATAATAGCTTAATCATATTGCATAACAAGGCATGTAATCATTTTATTGAAGTTTTATTAAGATAGTAGAGGCCCATTGTAGGAAGATTCCTGCAAAAATAGGGCTTCCTGCGGCCCTTCTCTGCTGCCTCGCTCCCTTCTCCTCTGCCTTGCTTGCTGCTTTGCTCGCTGCCTCGCTCCCTCCCTTCTCCATTGCTTTGATCCCTTCTCCAGCACTTCGCTCCCTTCTGCAGAGCTTGGCTTCCTTCTACCTGTCTTCAGTCTTCACTCCGAGCCTGTGGATGCAAATAAACTGGCATCTTTGTTGGATTAATTTGCACACTTGCTCCTGATTGGTTGGTGGGCATGGCCATGGGTTTGTCAATTTGCATGTTTCTCTTTTATTAGTGTAGATAATTGGCATATAATATTATATTCATTTCAGATATACAATATAATGATTTGATATTTTTATATATTGCGAAATGATCACCACAGTAAGTTTAATTAACATCCTTCACTACCCGGTTACAAATTATTTTTCTTGTGATGAAAACTTTTAAGATTTACTCTCTTACCAAATAGATAATACTATATTATTAACTGGTCATCAGGTGTCCAATACGTCCCCATGACTTATTTATTTATAACTGGAATTTTGTACCCTTTGACACCCTTCACCCATTTGGCCCTCTCTCACCCCTCCCACCCCCACCTCCGGCAACCACCAATCTGTTCTATATATCCTTGAGTTTGTTTTTTTGTTTGATTGATTTAGATTTCATATATAGGTGGAATCTACAACGTTTGCCTTTCTCTTTCGGACTTATTTCATTTAATGTAATACCTTCAAGGTCCATCCATATTGTTGCAAAAGGTGAGACTTTCTCCTTTTTTATGGCTGAATAATACCTTATTTTATATATGTATCACATTTTCTTTTTTTAATTTACATTCCTTCACACAGGCCTTTTACTTCCTGTCCTTGACACAGGTCTTTTACTTACTGATACAAGGCCTGTTAGATGCATACCTTTCTCTCAGAACACAGGTGGGGACCCACTCTGGTCCAGAAGGAAAAATTCCAGAGTATCCTTTGTACCTAGTAAACTTAGGTTTACTCTCAGGAAAGTCTTTCTTATTGTGACTGATATCCTTTGGGCTGAAGCTTACACCCATTTCCTCCACTTCAGACATTAGTGACAAAGAATCAGAAATGATCCTTGGCCTCAAAAGGACCTCCTATGTGACGGCTTCAGCCTTCCCCTTTTAAAGAAGGAAAAAAACTGAGAACCAAGTAGAACGTGGGACCTGCCTATGGTTGAGAACCAGTGCCAAAACCCACTTCCCTCTCTCAGACCACAGTGCACTTTCTGTTGCCCTAGTCCAGTGGTCGGCAAACCGCGGCTCATGAGTCACGTGTGGCTCTTTGGCCCCTTGAGTGTGGCTCTTCCACAAAATAACCATGGCCCTGGGAGAGTCTATTTTGAAGAATTGGCGTTAGAAGAAGTTTAAGGTTAAAAAATTTGGCTCTCAAAGGAAATTTTAATCGCTGTGCTGTTGATAGTTGGCTCTGTTGACTAATGAGTTTGCTGACCACTGTTCTAGTTCCTTCACACAGGTCTTTTACTTACTGATACGAGGCCTGTTAGATGCATTCCCCTTCCATAACGTCTGAAGTATAAACTACCTTATTTTTGTAGAAGGCCCAGGAAGGCAAATTATTAGTGTTTCAGGGCCAGGATAAAACCCTGAACAGCTCCTCATTTTGTGCCGAGGACAGAACCTCCACTCTCCGCTCTCTGGTTCCAGGCTCCATGCTGGGGCTTCCTTTTAAAATCAAGCCGCCCCCCCCCCCCCAAAGACTAGGAACCAAGAGGGATTTTTTTTAATGTATATACTTATTCAAAACTGAAGCCATGGAGAAGCTCGGGTTCTTTGCTCAGCATCTGCTTGTGTTGAGCAAGTGAAAATCCCTGGGGAGCAGTGGGTGCTTCCCACACCAAATGATTTCTGTACAAGGTCCAGCATTCCTCCGTCTGATATGGGGGTCACACCACACACCAAGAAGGATGTGACTAAGAAAAATGTGACTTCAGAGACGCTGCAAGTCCAGACAACTTCTGATAAACATTTAAACAGAAGTAAAGAATGTTTTCCTTTCTGAGGGGGGAAGCTATGTGGTCTAGGGTGTGAGTGGGAGGAGATGGAGGATAATAAATCCAAACATCAGCTTCCTCCTTTCATAATTCTTAAGTATGTCAGCAACAGCCATTTTTAATTCCCTGACAGGCTCTCATACTTGTACCACTCCGCTGGGTGCGAGCCACAGAAAGAGGGATAGGATCTGTGAAGAACGGGAAATTCCAAAGTAATTACCAAGCATGTTTAAAATGAAGCTGGATGCTGGGGCCAGTCTCTTGGTTCCCACACCGAGGCCGGGAAAGCTCCCGAAGGTGTCCACTCAGGCCCACTTGAGGCACCTACGTTGGGATTCTCGCTTCCTGTGCTGACAAAGGGGGGAAGCTCTGGAGGGGAAATGGGTGTTGACTTCCAGGGGAGGAAAGGTGAGGGGGAGCGGATGGCACCTCTCAGCATTCTCATCCTACCCAAGGAATTCCGAGAGCACTGGGCCAGGATGGGGAGGAGGGAGAGCCAAGAGCAGAGAGCCAACATGGATGCCCCTTGGCAAGGGAAAGGAAAGCAGCATGGTTTCTGAGACACGAAGCGCTTTCATTGGTAGTATTGATCCAATTAATGTCTTTGCCTACTTTCTTTCCCATGGGTCCTTTGGTTTGTCTCCTCATGTTTCCTGGAAGGGTGTGTGTGGTGGGGAATGGGGGGATGGGTGAGGATGGGTAAGACCGACTGGCATTCTCTTTAAGCAATTCTAATAAAAATTAAAAAATATAAATGTCTTGGAAGGAAAGACATTGATGTTAACTTTAATAAAACCCTTCATGTATCCAAAAATCAAGATTGTTTTGCCTGTCTGTTATGTCAGCCATTATCCCTGTGGCCAGGAGCGCTCAAGACAGAATGCATTTCTGCCACTTCTTCCCCTTTGAATTTTAAGCAGGCAAAGAGATGATCACCTTGTGAAATCATAAGTATTCCCATACTCGGCTTTAGAGATTTTTCACTTTTCTGAGAGAGCATATTTTATTTTTAAAAGCTAGTGTTCAAAAACACGTTCACTTGTTTGTTGGTTTGTTTGTCCATGTAGTCATTCATTCATTCATTCATGGGGATGGAAAGAGTCCTATCAATGGGCCATGACTTAGAAAAATGGGAGTCATAGTCAGGATGAAAGCTCTGGCGTTTAACCTACCATAGAATCTTGGCCCGCCTACTGATAAGCTCTGGGAATCTATGCAAGTTCATAAACCTTTCAGAACCTCTGATTTCTCATCTGTTAAATGGGGTTAATATGAGCATAACCACCTCATTGGATTCTTGTGAGAATTATCTGAAGTAACATTAGAAATAGCCTGTACTGTGCTGGGCATATAATAAGCTCAAGAATGGTAGGAGCAGCGGTAGTATTAGTGGTGATGGTAAAGGTAGTAGTAATTTTTATGATTAATAGTTATTAGTAATGAGACGAATATCGTAAGAGTAATGGCGTGAAGCACTATGAAATATCAGTGGGGGAGGGAATGTATCAGTGGGGCAGAGATTGCAGGACAGGAGGTAATTTGACTTGCTAGCTTTCTTTCATTTGAGCTCTATTCTTCTCAATCACATCTTAGTGGAGAAGTCGGGGCCTCCCTTTCCCTTTGCACTACATTTTCTATTCCATTCCTGAGGACTGCAGCTTTGGTAGCACATTCAACTGAAGGCTCCATCCCAGCGTCTGCATTGACCTTGGAGTGCCAGAGTTATTATTCTGTCAATTATTTGACTTTTTAAAGTGTGCTCACCCTGGAGAACCTCTGCAGAGGAGGACTGTGTTAATGTGTAACACAGAGATAAGCAAGGCACTGCTCTTTTCCTTTTTTCATAGTCATTCAGGCGGAAAACTGAAATGGTTTTTATTTGCATCTCATCGAGCAGTGTTGGAGGGTGGGGAAGAAGAGGCTTTTACTAATGAAGTACAGTGGGATGCGAATTTTGGCAACACAAGACGCCGTGAATCACCTGCAACTTGTTTTTGTTTTAAAAATAAAAGTAAATTGCAAGGCAGTGTCGTACCTTGCTTGAAGAAGTGATGGTATTCAGCAAGGAGACAGTGAAGAGGAATACACTGAGCTGGTGGAACCAAGTAGCTCTGTGCTTCTCTTGTAGACGGAATGAACGATGGCCACTTGCAGGGGTGGCAAGGTCATTTTTCTCACCTTCTATAGAAGGCATTGATCACGGGGGCCGGAGAACAATGTTCGGGACAAGGAGAAATGAGCAGCTGTTGCAGGAGGCAGTGAGTGGAGACAGGAGGACGGAGGCCCCTGTGTGCGGGAGCCAGCTCTGCCCAGCCCGCAGGCTGGCGGGGAGGTGGTGAAGCTGGTTGCCTAGAGCCCTACAGCTCTGCTGGTAACTTTCCATTGTTAGAGAAATCTCCTGGTCATCATACAAGTGCATTTCTGAAATGCCTGACAGCTCAGGGCTCCGTAAGCTCTGGATTAGCCAGCCCTCCACACAGCCAGTCTGTATCATAAGCAAAGGTCAGAGGAATGTGGTAGAGCCTTTAAAAAAAAAAAAAACCTCTAAGCCCACAGGTGAATGAGAAATGCATATTTCTATCACTGATCCATGAAGAGTAACGGTGTTTTGAGGGAATAGAGAGGAAAATCGGTAATTAGGAATGAATTTCAAGCTAGAAGAACTATGTTGAAGACTGAGGAGATTGAAAGCAAACACTGGATCTATTACCACTTTTCCATCAACTGAAACAAGTATGTTGGTTAATTGATTGGTCAAGGCAGAATTTTTGGTTAGCAATAAGGTGATATGGAATAGTGGTAATGAATGCCTAGTTTGAATGAATCTCAGCTATCCCATTTTTTAGCTTTGTGACTTTAGGCAAAATACTCAACCATTCTGTGCCTCAGTTTTCACCAAGGTACATGCCCTTGACGGGAATTGAACCTGGGACCTTTTGGTCCACAGGCCAATGCTGTAGCCACTGACCCAAACCAGTCAGGGCAAAAAGATACTTAACAGGTACTTCCTTCCCCACCTCAGGCTTCTCTGCTTTGGCTACACACCCACATACCGTCTGTGTTGGTTTTCAGACCCCATCCCATCCTCTGAAGCACATGTGTCAAACACAAGGCCCGCGGGCCAAATCCGTCCCGCCAGGCCTTGCAATGTGGCCTGCACCGCGCTGTCATCACTGCACTCCGCTGCGTTTCCATCACAGTGACAGTTTATGACTGTTCAGTAAACCATTCGGCCGGAGATTTAGGCTGGATTTTAGATTTTGGCCCCTTCTCTGATTGAGTTCGACACCCCTACTCTGAAGGGTCAGTGCTACTCTTAATCCCTTGAATGGGGCCCAAGGTTACATGGCAGCTCGGATCAGTACAGCACACAGTGGCCGTGGGCGCACACCAGTACAGATCCAGCGGGCTGGCCTCCAGCGTCCGCCTCTGGAATGTCCTGGTGGGCTCCACAGATAGATAACTGGAGGCCATGATGAGCCAGCAAAAGGAAGAGCTTCCAAAACCTGTTGCAGAGTGCTCCCTGGCTGAGGGTTCATGTCCTTGCTGCTGCTTGTATTCTAAGTGAGGATGTCTCATTATATGGGTTCTGGCCAAGAGAGCCTCTGTGAATGGGGAAGCTTGGTATTCAAGATTTTTGTAGACTCTTCCTAAGTTCTCAGGTACGAGTTCTAGGAGTGAAGAGATGGTCCTTCTTTTCAAAACAGGGACATTCGTGTTACAGAGGGACACGGGGGCGTAGAAAGAGAGCTATTTAAAGTCCAATCCTTGATGATCTAACGGCCATACTGCTCTGCTTTGTGTCCACCCTTTTTCTCAGAGGTGAGATTATTGGACTTCATTTTTCCACGTGTCAAATTCTCTTTAGCTTTTTAACCGCTGTGTTGAACTCTTCTCTCCCTTAAAGGCATTTTGTTATTTTTTTAACGTTCTTTGCTTCGCTGAAGCTGTGTGCTTTTTATTGTTTTATGGTTACCTCGCAGAGATCTCATTCGAAAGGCCCTTTAATACATGACTTGGCCACCAGATGTCTGACAGTGTTCTACCTCATTAGTTCGGAAACCTCCCAGCTCAGAGGAATGGACATTCCTCTGTGGATGGGGAAGCTTTGATCATTCCTGCAGGGGCCGGGAGGGGGAAGAGACACTCTCAACCTGGCAAAATAAAAATATCCCTGATGAAGACAACAATGAAATACTCTTGGAAAGTAACTATATTAAAATTACTCTTTTTTTTTTTTTTTAAATAAGTTTTTATTGTTCATATTACAAATGTTCCTCCCCCCCCCCCACCATTGCTCTCCTCCACCAGGTTCCCACCCCACCCTCTGCCCTTTCCCCTCTCCCCATTGTTCTCATCCATAGGTGCACAGTTTATGTTCAGTCTCTTCCCACTCCCCCCTCTCCCCTTTTCCCCAAGAATCATCAGTTCACTCCCCTTCCATACCTCTGATTCTATTATATTCAACAGTTAATATTGTTCATCAGATTTTTTAAATTTCCTTGGTTTTTAGATTCACTTGTTGATAGTTACGTATTTGTTGTTCATAATTTTTATCTTTGTTTACTTTCTCTTCTGAAAGAACTCCCTTCAGCAATTCATATAATTCTGGTTTGGCGGTGATGAACTCCTTTAGCTTTTTTTTATTAGTGAAGCTCTTTATCTGGCCTTCGATTCTGAGTGATAGCTTTGCTGGGTAGATTATCTTTGGCTGTAGGTTCTTGCTATTCATCACCTTGAATATTTCTTGCCATTCCCTTCTGGCCTGCATGGTTTCTGTTGAGAAGTCAGCTGACAATCGTATAGGTGTTCCTTTATAGGTTACTACCTTCTTTGCTCTTGCTTCTTTTAATATTCTCTCTTTGTCTTTTGCTCTTGGAATTTTAATAATGATGTGTCTTGGTGTGGTCCTCTTTGGATTCCTTTTGTTTGGAGTTCTGTACGCTTCCTGGACTTGTAAGTCTAATTCTTTTACCAGGTGGGGGAAGTTTTCTGTCACTATTTCTTTCAGTATGTTTTCGATATCTTGCTCTCTCTCATCTTCTGGGACCCCCATAATTCTGATGTTGGTTCGCTTGAAGTTGTCCCAGAGGTTTCTTACATTATCTTCAATTTTCTGGATTCTCTTGCCTTCTAGCTTCTGTGGAGGAGTGTCTTCTGGCTCTTTATGTTCCAAATCTTTGACTTGATTCTTGCGATCATCCCTCCTGTTTTTAGGACTCTGTAAAATATTTTTTATTTCAGACAATGTATTCTTTATTTCTTGTTGATCCCTTATCATTTCTTGTTGACTCCTTATTAATTCTAGTTGATCTCTTTTCATATCCTCATAGGTCTTATCCATCTTTTCTAGGAAATTCTTGAAAAACCTTATAAGCGTAGATTTGAACTCTATATCCAGACGCTTTTTGTCCTCCAATTCTTTCGTTTGTGATCTATTTTGTTGTCTCATTTCGCAGTTACAGATGGGGCGGGGTTTCAGGGTGGAGCCTGCAGCTTTGGCTTCTGTCAGCCCCGCCCTATGCGGGTCCTTCAGTGCTCGCTGCTGCCGGCGCCTCTGAGAGAGAGGTGCCCTCGATTTTCGCCTGCTGCCAAACAGTCTATGCTCTCCCACAATGAGTCCGGTATTGGGGTTCAGTTCAGTTGGAAGTGGAGTTGGAGGTGGCGTTCACAGCAGTCTGGAGCCCCAGTCTCCTTCCCGTCAGGGCAATCCCGCGGCACAGCCGACCATCCCTTCTCTGCGCTCAGTGTGCGTGCCTCCGGGACCTCCTTCCGCCTCTCCCCGGGGTTTCGCCTTACAGCCCGGCTCCCTATGGCTGAGCCTGAGTCCCTGGGGTCTGGCCTAGAACTGGGGTCCAGAGCAGTCCGGGGCCCAGCACAGTCGGAGTTTTATCTCCTTTCCGCTGGGGAACGCCCGCCAGGCACTCGGCCTCCCTCCTCTCAGGTCCGTCCTCTCCGCGCGTCTCCGTACCTTGGGCTTTTTCAGCTCCTCCGCGCCTCCTTCTGGTTTTCTCCTTGCTTCTCGCTGTAGAATTTCCAGTCAGTCAACCTTCCTGTAGTTCTGGGCAATGTCCGTTTTATATTTTAGTTGTATTTTATTGAAATTGTTGTGTGCGGCTGCAGCTAGGTGTTCACCTGGGCGCAGCCATCTTGGATCTCCTAAAATTACTCTTATTCTTTGGTGTCTCCTGAGTCCTTTGAAGACAGAGCTCATATTAGAAAATGGATCTCCATTCGTGGACAAGAGACCAGTTGAGCAGCCTCACCCCAGGTTACAGAGTACATGGAAATGATCCTAACGAGGAAAGACTTTTCAAAGCTGCATTCACTTTACCGCGAATAAATGGACTCGAGTCTTAGTTGTGGGTTTTTAATCTTCAATTTTGAATTTGCAAACGATCAAATTCCTTCAAAGCTATGGTGTGCAGAGAAGGCGCTGAGGAACAGGATTGCTTATTTTTTATGAAAGATGCCTTTTAGCAAAGCTCTAGGCTTTGAAATGTGGTCAGTCAAGGGTCCAATAGGCATAGATTTCTCCACATGAGACTGTTTCTTGTTGGGTTTCAACCAGGTTTAATATCTTATACAAAAAAATGTGGCCTGAGGGCTTCTAGTGCATTCAAAGTATAATACCGTATTATTTTAACACAGATTATAGCAAATGAAGGAATGTTTAAGTCCCTAAAACGTGACAGTAACTGGGTGCTGATGACTTATTATTATTATTATTATTATTATTATTATTATTTAGTCCTTCTTAAATTGAAGTACTTAAAAGAAGCAAGCCATCTGAAAAGGTGTTTGGAAAAAGAGGGCTCAGGCCCTGGCTGGTGTGGCTCAATTGGTAGGAGTGTCGTCTCATACATCAAAAGGTGATGTGTTCGATTCTCAGTCAGGGCACATACCTGGGTTGCAAATTCAATCCCCAGTTGGGATGACTATGGGATGCAGTCGATCAGTGCTTCTTTCTCACATCAATGTTTCTCTCTCCCCCTCACCTTTCCTCTCTCTCTCAAATCAATGAAAAAGCATATTCTTGGGTGAGGATTAAAAAGAAATAGAGGGCCCAGTGTTAGAAGCCATAAATAGAATAGAACAGAACAGAAGTGGTACTGTGGAAGAGGAGCCTTCCTTCAACTTCAAGAGGTAAAGGAAGAGGGATGGAGAACTTTGCAAGGGTGACCTAGCCCCCGAAGTGAGGAAGGCTGGAGAGTAAACTCAGGCCCCTCATGTCATGGGACACCTGAGTGAAGCCTGTAGTGCTTTCAGACTCGCTGAATGGCAGGCGGAGCCCAGGTGCCAGTGATGGCTCACTTTCCCCTTTTCTCCCTTCAGAGGCAATAGGAGAGAGGAAGAGGAGGAGGAAGGGAAACAATAGGCTGGTTATGTTCTGGGTTAGAGAGGCATTTTCCAAAGAGGAAGTGGGCCAGGCAGTCTTGGGACCTGCGTACTCACACCAGGAGAGCAGCTGTGTGAGCCCCTGGCCTCAGGCAGGTTACCAAGTCCTCCCTCACCCCTTCCCCCGC